ATGAAAGAGAACAAAATCAAAACTGACAATGAGCGCCATAAAGCCACAAAACCTAAAAAAGACACTCATCAAATGTGAGTCACACTGGTTATTTTATGGTATTTTTAAACCACGTCTACTATTATCATCTGCTAACATTATGAAAAATATGTATAATATATATAACACACATTTCCTCCCTTAGTTCAGAAATATAGAAGGAATATGAAATACTTCTTAGTTTCACCCTGCTCCTTCCTTTCACCACAAGGACCTGTAGGCTGAGTGTGAAAACTGACTGAACATCAATCCCACTTGTGCTGAGAAGCTGCCCACGCAGAAGCAGAAAACTGTTTATTTCCCCTAAGTTCAACATGAGCCCTGAAAGAGTAAGGAATATAGGTACAATTAAAGATAAATGCTAAAAGATTTAGAAAAGTTTCAAAACAACAGTCAAATTTAAATTTAAGACTAGAATTTAAAAACTAAAGAAAAATAACTATCAAATTACTTCAGTCTGACAAATAACAATCAACCCAAAATAAAGAAAACCAGAAACATTTCTACTCATTGAACGTAAGGATGAAGAAAATCTTTTAAAAGGAATGCCTATTGCATCCTTCATATTCCACCTGAACCTTTTTTCCTAAAAGAAGAAAATAATTTATTAGCAGACTAAGGTACCTTCACAACATAACCCTCTGTAAATTGAAGGCACTGGTCACACTTAACCAGTCAAGATTATTGATACTCATGACTTTTGCATAGGCTGTTACCTAGCCTAGAATGCCCACCTGGAAACCCATCCCAACTCCGGTTTAAATAAAATTTTTTAATGTTTGTTTTATTTTTGAGGGGCAGTGGGGGTGGGGGGGGAGAAGGGAGGAAGAGAAGGGGGAAAGGGGTAGAGAGAAGACAGAAACACAGAATCCAAAGCAGGCTCCAGACTCAGTTGTCAGCACAGAGCCTGATGCAGGGCTCAAACCCATGAGTTGTGAGATCATCACCTGAGCCAAAGTCAGACCTACTGAGCCACCCAGGTGCCCCACAAATGCCGGTTTAAATGGTTAAGTTCCTTTAGCATCAGGACCTGGTCAATCCTATTCACCAAGCATAGCTCTAGCAACTAGAGCACTACTGGCACAAAGTAATCAATAAATAAGTGTCCTGTTTGTCCTGTTTTCTCAATAGCTCTTCCCCCTTTCTACAGTCAGCTTTTTACTCATTTATTACTGTCTATTTCATTTTTACCACAGCTATCCAAGAAAATTTATTTGACCCCAGATTCTTTCTTAAAATAATACAGAATACCAAAATCAGTAGGGTTCAAAAGAAAACACATTAATGGCACGTTTTTAGGAACGACTGGTTGATTCAATCACTACAGCATATGACTCCTGATCTTGGGGTCATGAGTTCAAGCCCCACGTTTGGTGCAGTTTACTTAAAAAAAAAAAGTAAAAATTTAAAAAGTAGCATTTTTAAAAATATTTATTTTTGAGAGAAAAACAGACACAGAGCACACAAGCGGAGGAAGGGCAGAAAGAGAGGGCAAGACAAAGAACCTGAAGCAGGCTCCAGGCCGTCAGCACAGAAACTTATGTGAAGACAAACCCACGAGCCGTGAGATCATACTCTTACCAAAGTCAGATGATCAACTGAGTGAGCCACCCAGGCACCCCAAAAGTAGCATGTTTATTTTACAGGTTCTCTCAAGTACTGTCAATTACAAGCATGTAAACATGAACATACACGTGTTTTCACATCCCTAGTTACATGCAGGAAAATCAGAAAGGTCTAAGATGGTTTGTCAAAATTACAAACGTAGGGTCTGGGTGTCTAGTACATACCAGTTCCAAACTTTAAAAAGAAACAAAACAAAACAAAAAACATTCTAATTGCCCATACATCAAATTTATTCATGCACATGTCAGAACAAAACTGTAAAACTGAATATCCCAGCAAAACAATTCTTTGAATGAGTTTACAAGTTACATAAAAGTTACTAGTCATATAGTAAGGAGCCTTAAAGTACCAATGTCACTATCAAATAAAATCTTTGAAGGACATACAGTGAACACTCAGTTCCAACAGAATCTAAAGCTGAATTTATCCTTAACATACAGATCTGGGATTAATCATGAAAAGTATAAAACAAAGAGCCTTATGGCACTCATTCATAAATGCATTTAAGAGTAATATACACTAGGGGCGCCTGGGTGGCGCAGTCGGTTAAGCGTCCGACTTCAGCCAGGTCACGATCTCGCGGTCCGTGAGTTCGAGCCCCGCGTCAGGCTCTGGGCTGATGGCTCAGAGCCTGGAGCCTGTTTCCGATTCTGTGTCTCCCTCTCTCTCTGCCCTTCCCTTTTCATGCTCTGTCTCTCTCTGTCCCAAAAATAAATAAACGTTGAAAAAAAAAATTTAAAAAAAAAGAGTAATATACACTAAATTAGTGAGGAATTTAACAACTACACTGTGAACGTAATATGAAGCTAGCAATGGGGAAAGTTTCCAGCTCCAAAATCCAGGCCACTCATTTTCCACAAAAAAATGTCAGAAAAAATTGTTTCATTAAGAAACCATTTAGCTGATGCTTCAGGTATAATTACCTTGCAGCTTCTCTCTGCTTTTCATGTTGTCTACACCTGTATTGAAGTTTACATCTACATGTTAACATTATGAAAAAATATATGGCGTGAAGTTTCAAAAGTATGGGGCGCCTGGGTGGCTCAGCCAGTTGAGCATCCAACTTCGACTCAGGTCATGATCTCACCGCTCATGAGTTCCAGCCCTGCATTGGCTCTGTGCTAACAGCTGAGAGCCTGGAGCCTGCTTCAGATTCTGTCTCTCTCTCTGTCCCTTCCCTGCTCATACTCTGTCTGTGTCTCTCTCTTTCAAAAATAAACAAACATTAAAAAAAAAAAAAAGTACAGTCATACTGAAAAGCGTTCTGATTTAAAAATGGCTAAAGGGGTGCCTGGGTGGCTCAGCTAGTTAAGCATTCGACTTCGGCTCAGGTCATGATCTAACAATTCACAAGTTTGAGCCCAGCATTAGGCTCTGTGCTGACAGCTCAGAGCCTTGCTTCAGATTCTGTGTCTCCCTCTCTCTCTGCCCCTTCCCCCCACTTGTGCTCTTGTGCATGCTATGTCTCTGTCTCTCTCCCAAAAATAAATAAAAACATTTTAAAAATTTAACAAAAAATGGCTAAAAATATTATTTCTCAATGGAACTGCGTGAAATTTCATTGAGATCCTTTTCAAAGTAGCATAGGTCACTGCAGTAAATTCCATTTTAGTTTCCTGAACTAACTTCTATTAAAAATTTAACTCAGTTTTATATTTACTAAGCACCTACTGTGCATAAAGCACTAAATGAGGCATCATATTTGCCAGATTAGACAACTAAAATATTACACTTCGTAATTAGACAACCAAAATATCACACTTCCTACTAACAAACGGTTAGCGTTATGACTCCTCAGGACATCAGGTAATAACTATCAATTGTAGGCCTCTAAAAATGCTTGTTAAACCAAAAGGCAATGCTCTTGCTGGAGGAATCCAGATTGCCTAGATCAGCAAAACTACATTAGAAAGTTAATAGCCTCCATCCTTAAAATATCCCTGGAGAAGAAAGGGAGTGATTCAAACTGTTAGCATGTGCCCAACTACACTACACAATAATAGGCTAGGCAAAACTGCCAGATGTATTTGTAATTAAGAGGTCCAACCTTGACAAAGCATCACCAGTGGGATTTTCATCCTACTGGCTGGAAGGATTCAGAAAGCAAAAGCTCAGTCAAGAAGTGAAAAGCACATCTAAGCATAAACTGCTCGGGCGGTTCAAGCTAGAACAAGTACCCACAGACGTTCATTCCTTCAACCTGAGAGACTCTATTCTGACACAGCAGAGAGGACGATTTAAATGGGAAAATAAGGAGCACCTGCGTGGCTCAGTCCCTTAAGCGTGGGCTCTTGATTTTCGCTCAGGTCATGATCTCAAGCCCTCCATGGGGCTCTGCGCTGACAGCGGGAAGCCTACTTGGGATCCTCTCTCCCCTTCTCTCTCTCTCAGAATAAGTAAAATAAAATTAAAGGAAAGTAAATTAATGAAAGAATGCATAGCCTGCTGTTCTCGTGGGGGCTGCTGCCCCAACAATAAACTGAGGTCGGTGCTATAAGAAATTAATTACAAAGTAGGAAGCGCTACTGCGGAGAAGTGAAAATTCTCTGGGAAGAGCCAGAGAAGACAATGATCTTTGACTTGGGATCCGTCAGTTTAACATTTGCGCCGATTTTCCAAAGAAAGTTGACAAACTCTCCACCAGACGTCAATTCTGGAGGCTGACACATCCCTCCATCGACTGGAGGCGTCTGCCGACCCAAGGTAGTGGAAGCGCCGAGAGGCAGGCGGCGCCAGCCAAAGGAAGCTTTTTCTCCCTCTCCTAGGCCGCGGCAGCCGCGGCGCTGGGGCGGCTGCCTGGGCTCCCGGGAGCAGGGGCAGGTGTCGGCGCCAGATCCCCGCTCGCGGAGCTGGCAGAGTTGGCAGAGCTGCCGCCGCCGCTTCCCCGGCGGGCCGGGACGCACGAAAGTTGCGTGAAGACAACTCCAGGCCGAAAAGCGGCTCCCCCGAGCAGCCCGCGGGCTGCGGCATCTCCAGCCTCCTCTCAGCCCCCGGGGACAGGGACCCGCGGCCCGCGGAACAGGAGAGGGAGCTCCGCCCGCCAGCTGGGCGAAGCCGGGAGGACCCGAGGGTCACTGCCGGGCGGGCGAACAAGGCGTCGGGCGACTCCGCTCCTCTCGGGAGCCCCCACCCGGGCCGCGCCTCCCGCCAAGTCCGGGCGCGAACACTAGGCGCCCGCCGGCCGGGCCCTTCACGACCCCGGCGCCCGGGCGCCGCAGATCCCACACCCGCGGCCCGAACCCCTCCGACTCAACCCGACCCCTCCCCGGGACGCAGCCCGGTCCCACGGCTCGACCCGCAGCCGGGCCGCGGCCCTGCGCACCTTCCCGCCTCACCTGCGCTCCGCGGCAGCTCTGCACCTCCTCGCCCGCTCCGCGCGCCCCGTCGGGGCACGCACCGACCCCCCGGCCGGGACTCCCCCGGCCGCGGTGACTCGGGACGCGACGTCCACCGCCGCCTTCTCCTCCTCAGCACAAGCGCCGGCGGCGAGCAGAGGGTCGCAGTCAAAGCCCCGCCGAGGCTAAGGCGAATCTCGCCACCTCCACAGCCTCCACCACCAAGTCCCTTCACTCGTCCGCGCCGCCCGGAGAAAATGTCACCAGAGGCCGTTCCGCTCGGCGCCTCACTTCCGCCCGGAACCACAGAGGCCGCGCCGGTCGGCTAGAGCGGCCGCTGCGGCGGCGGCCTCCAGGGACTGGCTCGGGAAGCCGAGGGAAAGCCAGACAGCGCCATCTAGCGGACAGGAAAACGCAATCCTCCAGCGCAGAGCGCCCAGCGTGCGGAAACCAGCTTCCCCGGCTCCTTTCCCGCGCTCCATCCATCTGATGAGGCAGCTCCCTTCCGGAAATGTCCTTCCCAGAGGGTCGGAAATCAGCCAATGCAAGTCAAGGATAATGCCCTAAAAGAAGGACAGTGCTCCCTTTTCAGTGCACTTCTCACTATTCACCCCTTCTGAAGCCTTCCTTCAGGGAGCTCCTAGTGTCTGAATCCTTGAGTGACTCTTCACCGCTCCTTTCGTGGCAGCAAAGTTCCCTGGCCCCCACAAACTGATTTTCTCTAAGTTGGCTACAGCAATTTGAGAATCAAGGCGGGGGGGGGGGGGGGGGGGGGGGGGGGGGGGGGGGGCGGACAGGAATGAAAAGGAAAGCCAGTAAGAGCAAATAAAAAGGGCCAGCCTGATGTCTGAGCCTGGACTCCCTTGCGTGCTTTTGGCTTCTGTAATCTTGCTTGCCTCTTCCTTCCTTGCCTGCTCCAGCCAGCAACCAGGAACCAGAAGCTTGACTGTACTAGTCCTGCCCAACCCAGAAGCACACATGTATAAAGGATCAATAAAACCCAAGCTGGGTGCTCAGCCTTTGGAGGTGATTCTGCTGGGCCAGCACTGGTGCAAAATAAAGTATTTTCTGATTTCTCGAGTGCATGTCGCTTGTGTCTTCCTGAACGCCTAGTATTTCCTGTAACATTTTCTCCCCACTTTTTTGCAGATGGTGACAGCTTGGCTGGTGAAAATTCGGCTGTGCTCTTCTCTTGCAGTAGCATCAACATCCCATTGGAGTTTTCTGGTCAGGAACCCTACAGGCCTGGCATATAGACCGCCACCTGCTGGTGAAACCGGATCAGCCAGGGAGACCCTGCTCTCCCCTATGGGCTGCAGACGCCCCAAATTCCACCTCTTCAGAGTCACTGCTCTCATTTGCACTTCAGCGTGGGAGGGGTGATGCATCTGTGCATTCTATGAGTTTTTGAGACCTTTTCTTGACGTCTGTGATTGAAAGAAATGTGCTATACGTGGAACCTGGAGGAAAGGTGAAGTGGGTGCTGGCTACCTAGCTGATATAGGGCTTAGAAGGAGAGAGAAGAGGTACTGAGAACAAACTTTATAACTCAAGATCTAGCCAAGGACTGGCACTCCCAAAGGCAGGGTTCTGAAAAATGAATAAGTAAGAGCTTAAGGAGAACATGTAAAAGGTCTTTACTTTTTCAGGAACCAAGCTGGAAGCTGGGGTGACCACTACCCAAGAGGAGATTATGAAAATCACAGCGCTAGCCCCACATTCCCCTTAACATCAGTGTCCCCATCAGATCAGGTGCTTCAGCTGCCCCAGTTCACTCATGTATGTTGACTGTGCACAAGCATGAGAATTTTCCATCCACGGCTAAATTGGATAATCATTTTATATTAATAAATTGATAATCATTTTATATTAATAGCTAACTTTTTTTTAATACCCGCTATGTGCCAGGCACTGTGCTGTGCAGTGTGTGTGTGTGTGTGTGTGTGTGTGTGTGTGTGTGCCGTGAGTTTAAATGGATTCAGTCATTTAATCCTCACAACAACCCTATGAGTTTGGTACTACTACCAACCCCAGGTGACAAAAAGAGAAAGTGAGGCACAGAATGGCAAGGTCACACATCAGTACTGGACTCCAACACAAACAATCCAAGTCCAGAGCTTGCTTTCTCAACCACTACCACCAGCTACCTCTTTGAGACTGAGAACATACTGTGTGCCAGATACACATCTTGTCTATGTATGATATTTCACTTATTCATGCATTCGTTTATTCATTGATTTCCCTGCCACCTTAGTCCCCAAAGAACTTGAGAAGTTGGGGGTAGTGATAAGAGCCCAAGCTCTTTCAGAAGAAGAGGAGAAAATTTAATTACCAAGATCACAGCTGTCAGTCTTGAAGTGAAAGTGTAAATGTGGACTAATACTGTCTAGTTTTTCTTTGACAATCTTTTTTTTTTTAATGTTTATTTACTTATTTTGAGAAATGGGGAAGGGGCATAGAGGGAGAGAGAAAGAATCCCACGCAGGCTCCATGTTGTCAGCACAGAGCTGACAATCCCATAAACCGTGAGATCATGACCTGAACTGGAAAATCAAGAGTCAGAGGCTTAACTGACTGAGCTACCTGGGCAGCACCATGGTTTTTCTTTGACATTCTTATCAGTGCTGTAGATACTGAAATGTCTCCCAGAATCTCATGTGCGTGCCATGCTCAGCTCTGCAAGCTCCTGAAATCCCATCTCCATAAAACCAGTCCAGTCCAGCCACCATCCATATCACTAGCAACTCTCTCCATCCCATTGTCTCTACAGAAATTTGTCAAGAAACCTCTGTTCACAGACCCTGTCCTACAAACACGTCCATCCCTTAGCCTACCTGCAATGTTATTACTGAATCATAGCAATGGTTCTCTCAACTTCTGTCGTAAGCCTTGGAGGCCAGGGCCAGGCTTGTCTGAATCACTCCTCAGCATTATTGTTGCACCTGATGCATCACCTGCGCTGGGGCTGGGCCTGCAGCAGGTTCCTGTTAGAAATGGCCTCGGGGCACCTGGGTGGCTCAGTTGGTTGAGTGTCTGACCTCAGCTCAGGTCATGATCTCATGGTTCGTCAGTTCAAGCCCGGCATTGGGCTCTGTGCTGACAGCTTGGAGCCTACTTCAGATTCCATGTCTCCCTCTCTCTCTGCCCCTCCAACGCTTGTACTCTGTCTCTCAAAAATGAATAAACATTAAAAAAAATTTTTTTAGGGGCGCCTGGGTGGCTCAGTCGGTTAAGCGTCTGATTTCAGCTCAGGTCATGATCTCGTGGTCAGTGAGTTCGAATCCTGCATTGGGCTCTGTGCTGCCAATTCAGAGCCTGGAGCCTGCTTCAGATTCTGTGTCTCCTTCTCTCTCTGCTCCTCCCCCGCTCATGCTCTGTCTGTCTCTGTCTCTCAAAAATGAATAAATGTTAAACAAATGGTGGCCTGAACAGTAGCATCAAAGTGTGGCTGGCCTTGCTTGGACTATAGTCTGTTCCCTCCCGACCAAGCACATTACTTCTGCTGTTTCCCCCTGCAAGGTGGATGTTATTATTAGAACCACTCTCTAGGGGCGCCTGGGTGGCGCAGTCGGTTAAGCGTCCGACTTCAGCCAGGTCACCATCTCGCGGTCCGTGAGTTCGAGCCCCGCGTCGGGCTCTGGGCTGATGGCTCGGAGCCTGGAGCCTGGAGCCTGTTTCCGAATCTGTGTCTCCCTCTCTCTCTGCCCCTCCCCTGTTCATGCTCTGTCTCTCTCTGTCCCAAAAATAAATAAAAAACGTTGAAAAAAAAAATATTTAAAAAAAAAATAAAAAAAAGAACCACTCTCTAGATGATGAAAATGGGAGATCTGAGAGACAGAGCTCTCATCTCTGGTGTCTGGGCTGCCCCTACTCTTCTCAGATTGCTAAGAGCTGGGCTACCTGCCTCCCAGTGTAACCACCCACCCATCTGCCCTCCACCCCCAGCATAACCAGCATTCACTCCAATCTCCCAGCACCTGCTATACAGGGAAGTGCTGCACCTCTGCACTTGGTGGCCACATAACCTAAAACAAGCCGCCACTTCCAGAGTTAACACTACTTGCTTTGCCTTGGAGCATTATTTCACAGAATTAAATTACGTCCTCCACGTGGAAGGCCATCTAGAACATTCTAAGGATTCCAAGTGGCAAAGGTCACATGGTCATCAGCACCAGGGGCTCTGGAGTCTGGCAGGTCTGAATTTGGATACAGGTCTGCCTCCCTCTAGCTGTGACCTCTGGGCAGTTGAGCAATCCTGTCAAGCATAAACATCCTCACCTGTTCAACACGGAGGACTCCTGATACTACGTTGTAGGCTCTCCTGGGGGTTAAGTGAAGTGACTGGTGTGTGTAAAGTTATCAGCATAATTCATGGCTCAGAGAGAACACTCCGTAAAGGGGGTCCTTGTTCTGATGGCAACAGTCCAGGCCAGCACCTCACTGGTTAGTACAGGCACAGACTCGCACTGCTTTACAATGATGTTGCCACCTCAACCGCCAAGTCCGCATGGAACCAGAATGGAACAGGGCAGAAGATGTCATGCAAGTGGAGCCATCTGCAGCTAAGAGTGGCTGGGAGGGGACACCTCCTTCAGCTCCCTTGTTCGCTGGGGTGGCTGAGCGAGGCTCCTCTGTCTCGGGCTCCCCGTCCCTCTTTCCAATCAGGTGACCCCCTTGATATCCCTTCTATATGGAAAATCTGTAACTTAAATTGTTGTAAACGTTTATTCATTTTTTGAGACCGAGACAGAGAGAGAGAGAAACAGAGCACAAGTGGGGGAGGGGCAGAGAGAGAGGGAGACACAGAATCCGAAGCAGGCTCCAGGCTCCAAGCTGTCAGCACAGAGCCCGACGTGGGGCTCGAACCCACAGACCATGAGATCATGACCTGAGCTGAAGTCGAATGCTTAACCGACTGAGCCACCCAGGCGCCCCAAGAAAGTCTATAACTTGTATTAAAACATGAAAATAAATGCAAAAGATAGTTTAAATTTTTTCAACAAATGTGTGTTGCCCTCTCATTTTTTTCCTGTAAGGACTAGCTCTGAATGACACAGCACCCGACCTTGCGGGGCCTCCAGGCTGGAAGCTGCAATCTTCTACTCCACTGCCCATCACAGGAGCAGCTTGTTCCCTCTGTAACATCTGCCCTCCCAGGTGCCTGTGGTGCATGCTCCTCTTCCTCACCCATCTGAGTCACCGGAGACCACGGGGCCCTGCTCTGGGAGAGACACTCGTTCGTGGGTGTGAATGGAGGAAGTCCATCTGAGGATCTGC